TTATTATAGGTTACATGGCAAATGAGGGAATACAACACAGTGATCATATTTGTTAAAAAAAAAAACCTCTTGATCATGACTATCTAAAAYGAGTAATAGTGTGAGCTGCTTCCAGGAAGTCCCAAGGCTTATCTTGAGTGAATCCCGGAATCCCCCCACTTCATTGTTAGTCACTGGGTTCAAAACAGAAAGCATTGTTTTGATTTGMGTGCCAATAATCTAACATCAAAGCATGTGCTAATAACAAAGACATGAGGGAGGTAAAATRTGAATTATTTAGGATGGTTTGCTTTTTTTTAATCCAATCAACACTAGAACATTTTCAAATAGGGTTGATAAATTAGGGGGAGATGGGGGCCAGTTCTAAACATGATTGTTTTCTATTATTGTGGAACTTTACTTGCAAGAATTCTGACATTTAAGGCTTTAMAAGTGTTAAAGTCAGTAGTGAGAGCTTACAGGCAAGTTTGTCCTACTTTTCTGTAAAACAGTATGACAATAAAATGTAATTATGTGWTATTTAAAACAATATTTGAGTGACACAGTTTGTAAATATTACCTCACCCCAGTTATGAAGTGGAGGACGTGTCCATAGATTTTTGTGAAGTTTTGACCCGTTGCTTCTTTGTTTGAGTGAGTTATACTTTAATTTGGAACTTACCTGATCCAAGTCTGTGAACATGAAGAGACCCTTTWCTCATAGACAGCTGGAGCCATGCTGAGTCATCTGTTCCTCTCAGCAGTGCAGTGGTATGTTTCTCTCTGGCACAGCCTGCCTCAGTTTGCCTATTCAAAAGTGAGTCAGGACCACGAGAACACATGGCAAACACTCAAAAGTTTTAAAAGTCTGTTTATGGTACAACTTCGCCCTTACATTTCTGTTCAGTTGTCTTACCTTCGCATGACTTGGTTTCTTTTGTTTGGTGCTTTTGCATTTTACATTTCCTTTCACGTGTGCCTCGTTGCTTTTTTTTTTTCTTTTCTTGCTTGCTCACATTCTTACACTTGCTCTTTCTCTTCATCCTGGTGACAAATCACTTCGTAAATCTTAAAACAAAACAAGTAAAAGCAGTGATTTGAACTGAACTCATAGGTTTGTGCTGTCTTCTTTTCCCCCAGCCTTCAACCTTAGATTTATAGGCAATTGTTTTTTTTTTAAAGAACTATCAGCTAAAGTTGTTAGATTTTCACATGCTTTTTTTCATATTGTAAATTTATTTTATGGTGTTTCCCAAAGTCGTCAGGTAAATAAGGATATAAACCCAGTTACATATCGGAAAGCGAAGCAGCTATTTATTAACTAACAACAAAGAAGATTAGAGTTTTACATTTTGCCTGCAGAAGATTGTGCCCTGCACTGAGTTAGCAAGTCCTAACTTGTAGCTGTTTGTTAAAGCCTTCTTAGAATTTTCTTCTCTTGCTGTGGAAACACAACACGACTTTTCTGGCTAACAGAGAATGTTTTTTTGCAAATGCAAGGAGGCTCTTTTTCCATGACTACATCCTTGAAAGAATTGATTTAATGACACTGAAAAGGTTTCAAAAAGCTTTCAGTGAGCATATTGCTGCATGTTAGGATGCATTATTAACACACATTCTTACAACGTTGTGGGACAAAAACTAAATTTGTAAAATAGGATAATAAAATYATAGTTGTGCAAAGTGAAGAATTATCTGAGGGTATTTTCTTCATGATTTGAAATGCTTTAATTTAATGAAAGCRAAACTGGAAATTTCCACTAATTCAGCATGAAAGCAGAGCAGAAAGTGAAAGCTTCACTGTGGCRTTTCTCCTGACAGACAGATTTAGACCTTGTTGTTATGAGGTTTTATCTGGATAGTCGGGCAGTTTTCCTGACAGGAACGCAGCAGCAGGGTGACAGTGTTCAGTGTTTTACTACTAACTGCTGAAATTGTACAATTTTGTAACAAAATCAAGGTTAGTGTAGATGTTTAGGACAGCCTGGTCTTCGAGGATCACTGTCCTGCATGTTTGATTTAGATTGAAATGGATGATTAACAGAGGTTTGCAGAAATWGAGAACATGCTGAAGTTGTAATTCAACCAACAAAGAAACATCTAAAACATGCAGGATAGGGGTGCAGGACCTGCAGGACCAGGGTTGGTTACTACTAGATAAGAAATATTAATTTCACTTTAATTTTAAGCTGTTAGAGGGTTGTTTTTTTTTTCACTTGCCAATCAAAAGTTATTAAATGTGAACCAGAGGATTGATCTAAACCTGAGTCTCCAGTTTTTCATGTCACAACACATTTCTTTTCTTTGCGACTTAGTTAGGTCTGTTTGAGCACATCACATAGAATGGAACTCCCATTATTCTTCATTTAAAGAAATGCAGCATTTGAATTTAATACCGCAGTCTTAACCGTTCTATTATTTTCTGTAAAAAAAGTTGTTCCATTAAAGGAAACTTAAAAACATCTGTGTTTATCTGATTCTGTTTCAGGTGATAGCCATAGTGATGGATATGATCACAGACGTCCACATCTTGCAGGATTTGATGGATGCAGCGTCTCGTCGATCTGTGCCTGTTTACATCTTGTTGGACAATCAGGGTGTGCCACACTTCCTGGATATGTGTTCCAGGCTTCAGATCGGCTCGCAGCACCTTCGAGTAAGACTGTAATTTTTGCAAAGGAAWTTATTTTAAAATATGCAAAAAAAACAACCCCACCCCCAAAAAATAAATAAATAAAATAAAAGAATAGACTCGTAACCGGTGCTTGTCGCATTGATGCTTTATCTAAACAGAAAGAAAGCAGACATGACAGGTTTTCATAGGATCATCATGCTGGTATAGATTTTCAGTCATCCAGGATGGGTAAATCCAAAAAAGGTGAAAAAAAAAAAAGGTTTTACAGCGGGTAAAATGAGTATTGAAGACGTCAACATTTTTCTCAGTAAATATATTACTAGAGGTGCTAATGACATGAAATTTTCACCAGATGTTGGTAACAACCCAAGTGATCCATACATACAAAG